GTAATAAGTAAATTCAAAAACATACATGGAGTTTTGCCGTGGTGCTTTTTTGCATCAAATCATTTATACAAAAATGCATCAAATAATGCAAATTTGCATAAAGCAGTAATTGGTGGAAGTTATAAAAGTGTGTCTTGAAGTGCTTTTTATTGTGAATTGCAGCGCTGTTGACGATGTGTGACGAGGATGACGACGAGGTACTCGTGTTCGAGTGTGGCGCTTCGTTGGCTGCCAGCGCATTCCCGAATTTCGAAGAGATACGCCGCTCTGGGAAATTATGTGATGTGGTCCTTGTAGCCGGCACGCTCAGGTCTGTTCTGGATTTTTACTTATTAACAGTGAATGAATGCGATTTCTACTATGCATAGTACGTCGGCGTCTGTGCTGTCATTCCGCTAATTTTGGTCCGGAAGTTTTCGTGCTGTCGCGGTCTGACTCCTTTTTTCATTAGTGCCTACTTGGACTGGAAACATTCCCTTAAAATTTCAGCTTTCTAGCTTCTCAGATCTCCGAGTTATGAACTTACTCGAAAAAAACTTTGGCTGGCCCATACGCGGGTACAACGCGGGGTATGGGGCCAATTTTGGGTTAGTTTCTGGCAGTGTAGGCTAAGCAGGACAAACGTACCTGTTGTGTTATAAAAGAAACAAGTGGCAGGTGTGAGCAAGGGCTGGAGTTGACCCGTCCCCTTCTCCTTGCTGCAGTTGCCGTGTGATATGCAAATGTCCCGCTTTGAGACTCGAATTTCCTTTGTGTTGTGAAAATGATATTATCAGAAATAGTGATAGTCCGAAATTATTGCGAATTGAGATTTGGCAATAGCACAGTTTTGCTGCCAACTGGTTTTGTGCCATCGTATCACTTCTCGGATTTTTGTTTTATTTTATTTATGAAGTAAAATTTACTTAATAAAATTTACTTCTATTTTACTCATAAAATAAATTTTATTATATTTTGAAGCCCCCATAGGCCCAGCAGGTGCGTGCTGTTGGCCCGAGCTTACAGCCGCATATTCGCCAAAGCAGTTTGTGGATTTGGTTATTTTGTTATTAGTCCCTGTACGCCCAACAAATAGTTTCATTGTTACCACAGCTCTTCTTTTGTATGTACGATAATTACAGATTCAGCGCTCATCGCATCGTTCTTGCAGCCACAATTCCGTATTTTCGAGCAATGTTCACCACAGAAATGGCCGAAAGTCAGCAGGAAGAAATTCATCTTAAAGGTCAATTGGTTCCCACCTTGATCAGTGGTCATTTCATCGCAGCGCTGAATTGTCCCATATTAGCAGCTTGCGGCCTTTCTCTGATTGTTGTATCTGAAGCTGCTACGTCACTTTGTGCTTATCGGTATTCCGGTCGTACAAACTCGCGTTGTTCTTTCCTCTCTTGAAGAGATATATTGACATGTTGGGTTGGTGGCTAAACGGCTCGTCGACTGCCCCGGTGTTCCTGCTGTCGAGTAGGGTCGTCAGCTTCTTGGCGATAGTTCGGGGTCGCACAGACCCGCCCGGTTCGTTCCAGCCTGAGTCATCTCTTGATATACAGGTATGCATAATATCATTACGCAAATCTGCTAGACAAGACTGCGCAACCTTAGGCTGCAAAGCATCCGGTTTGTCAGTGCGATCGTGCTTTTTTGCGCTAAGTTTGCAGATAGTAGGGTCCGCATCTTTCGTGATTCGTCTGGGTCGCCTTCACAATACCACAGCACCACACTGGATCGACATGGCTTTACAATACTGACAGAGCGGCCTTATACAGATCGCTTCGCGCCATTGCATACCTACCTAGGAGGGAGTCATGATGCAACAGACATGCAGCACTCCTGTCGTCATATATTTTCTTGTTCATCTCATCTATTAGATGTCCTTTGTGCTAATCTTTTACAACCTCACTTCTAAAGGAGACTGTTATTCGTACAAGAATTTCTAAGCATAGTGATTTAAGTGCAGGGATAATTGAAATCGCACTAAAAAGCGACCAAATCGTTCTCAGATTTGCTGTGCGACTTGAATTTTTTACCATTTCGAAGACAATGTAATTGCTACCACAGCAGATAGCTGTTCGAGAGGATTTTCGCTTCTCATAGGTAGAGTTTTAAGCCAGTGCACTGTGTGCTGGTTTTGATGTATTGCTTTGCAGATTTGGAGCCGGACACACTGGAGCAGCTGATTGCGTTTGCGTATACAGGAAGTGTTCGAATAACGGTGGCAAATGTGCAGAGCATGATGCAGGCGGCAAATTTCCTTCAGCTGAATAAAATTGTGGATGAATGCTGCAAGTTTTTGCAATGTCGGCTGCAACCCCAAAATGTGCTT